TCAGAGCCGGCGACTTGAACATATCCAGGCCTCAGGAACTGAGGAGTCGATCACGGTCTGGGTCCATCGGGGTCCTCGCAGAACTTCAGAAAGCCTCTGGACCTTCAGAGGCATCCGATCTGAGGGCACCAGTAAGCATGGGGAAACGCCCGAACGCCTCTCGAGACATCCGCAGTGCTTCTGGAAACCTCTCGAGGCCTCCTCCCTCCCCCTCCTGCTCCTCCTCCTGCTCCTCCTCCTGCTCCTCGCGCTCCTGCTGCTCCTCGTCCGCCTGCTCACCCCTCCTCTCCTCCCCCCTTCCTCTCCTCCTTCCTCCTCCCTCCCTCCTCCTCCCCCTCCCGCTCTTGGCTCCTCCTCCTGCTCCTCCGCATCGAGTGGCTCGGTCGCGCCCCGGCGCCCGCAGCGCTTCGGGATCCTGGGCCCCTGCGGGCGTGGCTGCTGGGAGGCTGCGCAGAGTCCTCCTGCGCCTGCCCCCTCCGACGACGGACGACGACGGCGCCGGACGACGGACGGCGGCCGGCGGCGTGGACGACGACGCCGACGGCGGCGACGACGACGACGACGACGGCGGCGACGACGACGACGAGGAGGATGCCGACGACGACGACGACGACGGCGACGGCGAGGACGAGGACGACGATGACCACGACGACAACGACGACGACGATGGCGGCGACGACGACGACGACGACGGCGGCGACGACGACGAGGAGGAGGACGACGACGACCACGACGACGACGACGACGGCGACGGCGAGGAGGAGGAGGACGACGACGACGACGGCGACGGCGACGGCGAGGACGACGACGACGACGACGACGACGACGACGACGACGACGACGACGACGACGACGACGACGACCCTGGACGACGGCAGCGTGGCCGTCGCCAGGGCGGTCGCGGAGCCCCTGGGAGCCTCGGCGAGGACTGCCCGCCCACGGGGGTGTGGTGGGGCGGATGGGTGTGCGCGGATGGGGTCGTGGCGACGAGGAGGGAGTCCCTAAGATCTTAGCGTCGCAACTTTGTCGCACCCAGCGACTCCGTCCCTTGCCTCGGGCCCGGGGACCCTCGCGCATGCCCCCGGCTCGAAGAATGCAGCAGCAAGATGGGGTCCAGGGCTCTGGCCTCTGGCCATGATTTTTGCGATTTTCTGCTATTTGTTCGTGGCGTCGGATCTCATGCACGGGACTTGGGAGGGAAACGTGGTGAAACCTTGCGGCAAGAAAGCTCGGCGTGGGCTCTAGCGGACCGGCGCAGACCATGGCAAACGAGGCGGGGAGCTCGTTCGATACCGTGCTTGGCGCGACCGCTCGTGGCCAGACGCCCCTGGAGCCAGGACCTGGGCAAAAACTGGGACCTCCAGACAAAAACCATGGGCTCCCTACAGTTCGTGCTCAGTATGACGGCAAAAGGGCCTGTGCCTGGGGCTTCCCTAGTGCCAGGCCCTCAACTGAGGGTAAGATCTGTTTTGGTTCGTGGACTGAGACGGGAGGATGAGTTGTTAGCCATGCTGAGCTTGCTAAGTTGGATCCGACGATTCGCGCGTGTGATTATCAGAATGAATTCAATGCCTATCGGTTCTGACAGAAGATAGTCAACTTGACCATCGGCGGATGGAATGTTTTTGACGTCTCACCCGGAAAAGGGCACTGGTGCTCAGCCAGGCGGGTGACCTAGGAGAACTGATAGTGTGCTGCTGATGCCACTGAGGGTAGGCACGACCCTGCCAATTCGGGTGGGACACGCGGGCTCTTCCATCCTTGAAAAAAAGCGGTACTCGTGAAGGCTGAGTGGCAAACTCATTCGGATCCCGGAGCCTGTTCCCAGGACCGCTGTGAGCACCTGGTGACGTTATTTGGTGGACGGCGTGCACGATGCGCATCCCCGGCCACCTCTGTGCGTAAAGTCAACGTGATTGCGCAGGACCGCTGGCATTGCCGACGGGTTGTGCCTGGCAGAGGTCGGCACCTCGGCGGGTGCGCGTGCCAGGCCGCAGACGCTGCCGCCGTGCTGTGGTCCTCGAGGTCTGTGCCTCGAGTGGGCGCCACCTGAGGACGGAGCGCCGCCTCAGGGGTGCCAGGGGGGGACCTGGTCCACAGCTGGCTTCGCCTGCACTCGAGGAAGAAAAAGCGCCATAGGCATGAACTGTTGGCTCTCCGCGCGGATGTCTTCGATCCGCGCTGGGGCCCCCTTGGCGGCGCCTCCGGCGCCGCCCCTGGCGCGCTCTGCGCGCCAGGGAGGGGGGTCCAGTGCAGATCCAAGAAATCCGCGCGGAGCGCAAAACATTTATGTTTATGGTGTTATTCCCGCATCTATCTGCCTCAGACGTGGCAGGGGTGACAAGCTCCGCGGCGGCCCGACTGCCACCTGCCTTGCAGCCGACGGGGGGGACCTGCTACTCGGCAGGGCAGGCCAGGCACCCGTCGTGGGCGATGTAGCCGTTGCCCGTCTCAACCACATCTGGTAGCTGCACTCGGCATCAGCCACCACCGGACGCTGGAGGTGAGACCACCCCCCGCCCCCACAACGGGGTCGCCTTCCCAGGGGGCATCTCCAGGCAGAGCGGGCGCCGCTGATCAGTCGATGGGGCGTGCTCCTCAGGGGTGACCTCTTGGGTATAGCAGGGAAGACCCAACCGACCTTGGGAATGACAGCTGGGACTTGTTGCCAGCATGACGGATCGCCACCCCAGGGGATGGGGACCTAGGGGGAGGATGCATAATATGAGGAGGAGGAGGAGGAGGAGGAGGAGGAGGAGGAGGGGGAGGAGGGGGAGGAGGAGGAGGAAGTGGAGGAGGATGAGCCAGAGCAAACCAACACTGCAGCAATGATGCTGTGCACAGCATCGGCGCCACCCCAACATACTTATACTATGTGTGCGTCGCGCCCCCAGGGGCGACGCGTGCACCGAGGACTCTTATGGTATATGCGTCGTGGCGGGCGCTTTCTGGCCACACCGCTCGGGAAACGATCTACTACAGGATGAGTATGCTATATGTTCGGGTCGGACGCGCACCTCCGAGGAGGGCATATCGTATCAATATGTCTCTGTGCGTCCCGCGGCGCGCACTCCCGTCCCGAGCCCCCTGCTCCCGACGTCGCTGCAGGCGTGCCTCCCCCGCTGCAGGCGAGGTGCCCCCCCTCGGCAGTGCGAGCGCCCCTCGAGCCGCCCGCCGCGCGGGCGAACTTCTCGGGCCGCCTCCGCCCGCCAGCCTTCGAGCGGAAGTCGTCATCGTCAGCGCCATCGTCATCGCCGTCGTCATCGACATCATCATCGTCATCGTTTCCATCCTTCAGGCGTCATCGTCATCGTCATCGTCATCGCCATCGCCATCGTCGTCGCCGTCGCCGTCGCCGTCGCCGTCGCCATCGCCGTCTTCATCGTCATTGGCATCGCTTCCATCCTTGAAGCGGGAGTTTCCAGCGGGAGCCTCATTGTGCCAAGGAAGTGCCGTCCATCCGTGTGGCTGCTGCGCAGTGCTGATGCATTATGGATCAGGGCAGCGGAGGAAGTCGCAAGCAGGAGCCGCTTCTTGAGAAAAACGCCCTCCACCCGTGTAGCCGTTGCGCGTGTTTTGACTGTCGGGTCATGAGTTCTGAATCCCCAGCAAGTCTGAAGCGGGAAACATATCAAATATACAGAACTGGCCTCCATCCTTACAATTTGTGGAAGTGTCAAGAATGTGCTCATCGCTGCGGCGATAGCCGCATTTTGGGAACGAGCAGCCCTACATCTTTGCAAATATTGGATTCAAGCTTCAGGACAGTAAGCTGCCAGGAAGACTCAAGCGGAACGCCCAGCCAGGCCGTACGACACGTCTGGTGGTTTGATTGGGAAGGGTTGTCTACAAGGAAGCTGGAAGGTACCAGGAAGCTGGGAACACATGGCGAAAGCTGGGTGCACATGTGGCCAGATGTGTTTTTTTTTGCGCTTGGCCCTTCTATGGCCAGGTACGCCCGGCTACCTTCTGCGTGTCCACGTGTCTGCAATTCTTGGGAGGTTGCGTTCAGCATCGGCGCTTAATACCGCTTAATTCGGTGTGCTTGTTTTTGCCTCACTCGGCTTAATCTGGCTCTATCCCAGACTTACTCTGGCTTCATCCGATTTGATGGCCCTCTAATCGAGCCTAGTAGCCTTGAATCGTTCTTGCGGAGACCTCCCAGGAGTTGCCTCCTTACATCCAGCGGGGGGCCTCTGGACGTTTCGCATGTGTGACCCCAGCCGCGTTTGTTTCCAGCCTTCTTGAACTTCTCGGCGCCCTGCTGCGAGCGCCAGACGCCCACCAGGTCCCCTTCCCCTCCCAAGACTCCCGACGCCATGACTCTTCACACTGGCGATCCCAGAGGTCTCGACCCACTCCCCAGGACCGCTTTTTCATCCTAAGTCATACGCCATGTTTGTGGACGGTCCCGAGGCCCAGCGGGGGGGGGGCCTCCAGAGCCCGAAATTTGGGGGAACACCTGCCGTTGCGATGTTTCACTGCCCGAGGGTGGTGCGACGAAACATCACACACCACTGGGAGTATCACCAAACATTGGTTCGATTATGCCTGTGACCAGAAATTGTGGGACAGCTGGGAAGACGCCTTCTTCCACCACCTGCAATCACCGGGCTTCAGCCCACCCGCGCTGCTCCTAGGGGGCCCGCCGGCCGACCGGCGGACTCAGCGCGCTCCTCCTCCTCTCCACCTTGGCATCGCTCGGACGTGTGTATTTTTTCTTCGGCGAGGACCTTCGAGGAGCATCCTCGATCATTTGGCGAAAAAGCCACGCGCGAAACCGAACAGAAAACACAGGGAATGGACGTCCAAGCGATGGCGAGCCACTGCCCGAAGGGGATCCGGGCCTCCGCCCCGGCACGCCGGGCGCGTGCCGCACCCCGGGCCTCGCCCGCGGAGGGGAGCCGCGCGGGCCGCCCCCGAGCCACGGGCGGGCGGCGAGGGCCCCGCAGCCACGGCCGGCTCCGGGCGCGGTGCGCGGGCTCGGGCCCCAGGCCCCCGACGTAATGATTCTTTCGCTACGTCGACCCCCATGAGGTCCCGACCCTCTCCCCATGACCGGCTTAGCATCCCGAGTCGTTTTTTGACGCTCCCGAGGCCCGGTGAGGGCCCCCGGAGGCCGAAGATTAGGAAACACCTTGGGTCATGATTTTTTCATTACTCGAGGGGGTCTGGGGGCGCGGGCCCGCCTTTCCAGACCCCCCCTCGCTCCGCGAGAAGTCGCGCCGGGAGGGCTGTTCGCTATAAATCCTCGGCCTCGGGTGGGGGCCCCTGCCGGGCCGGGGGGACCGTCACAGGAAGACGCGGGATGCGGAGCCGCTCCAGGGGAACGGGTCGAGACCTCGGGGGGTCGACGTTCTGGAACAGTCACGGCGTCGGGGGTCTGGGCTCCTAACGTGCCTCGCTGCTGGGGCGGGGCGCGAGGTATAGCCGTGGCGACAGCTCAGGCGTCAGCCGGCCGTGCGGCCGATGGATGCCCTCCTCCCTCCTCCCTCCTCGTCCTTCTCTTCTCGGGGAATCGTCAGACTCGAGCACGCCGGGACTCGGATTAGCCGACGCGTTTTGACGGGCCCGTCCTTGATGTTGACGGTCCAGTTCTCGTGGGATGTTTGCAGCGGGAGATCGCGTCAGATTTCAGATTGGGGCTCGTCCTTTTCCTGACAGCCGTCCCCCGAATCCGAGTCTTTCGTTTCCCCGACCTTCCCGCACGCTGTGCTGCGCAGCGGGGCTCGACCTAAAAGATGTTTTGGCGACTTCGTGGGCCGTTCGCGTTCCGATTTCCCTCCGCAGCAGAGGCGGAACGAAGGCAGAGCGAGGGACATCGACAACACACTAGAACGAACAAGCACCGTTCAGGTCGAGCCTGAAGTCGGGCATGCCCCTCTACAGGAGGAGAATCCAGCAACAGTCCAAACATTCGTCAGGGGAGGATTTTTGGACTCTTGTTCAAGACGTTTGGACTATCTTGGGTGTTCTTCCAACGCCCGCCTGTAGGAGGATATGCCCGACTGGAGCCCTGCTGCGCAGGTGCTCCAAGCGCTCCCGGTGCCCGGCGGAGCCATGCCGCGGCCAGCGCTGGGCGTGCTCGGCGTGCTCCTCGTGCCCGCCGCGGCGCCGCAGCCGGGGCCTCCGCTGGGCCGCTGCAGCGAGGAGTACCGCCAGGGCATGCCCACCTTCACGAAGCTGTCCTCGGCCGCCACGGCGTGCCGGGGCAGCGGGAAGTCATCGGGAGTCGGAGTGCTCCTGACCCTAAGAGCAGAGTGAAGACGTGGCCTCACTGAGGGCGCCGTCCTGGCTGGCATTAATCTGATATATGAAGATACAGATGGTATACATGCATGCATGCATGCATGCATGCATGCAAGCATGCATGCATGCACATATACATACATACATACATACATACATACATACATACATACATACAGACATACATGCATGCACAAGTACATACATACTTACACACATACATATATGCATACACATGCACACATACATATGCATATATATACATACACACATACACGCATACATACATGTACATACACATATACGTATACATATACATTTACATATGCATATACATATACATGTACATATACACATACATATACATATACTTATACATACATTCATACACACATGCGTGCTTACCTACCTACCTACATACATACATCCATGCATACATACACACATACATACCTATATATATGTACACACATCTATACATACGTACACACCTACCTACATCCATCCATCCATACATACATACATACAACCATATACACATACACATACGTTTACACATACATATACACCTATATATACACATGCATACATCCACACATACATACACACATACATACATATATTCACACATACATACATCCATACATACATACATATATACATACATACAAACATACATACATACACACACGTACATACACACATACATACATACACACCCACACACATACATACACATACATACACATACATACATACATACATACATACATGCATACATACATACACATGCATATATACATACAGCATACATGCATCAATGCATGCATACATACATACATACGTACATCCATACTTACTTACTTACTTACTTACTTGCTTGCTTACTTACTTACATACGTCCATACGTACACATACATGCGGTTTGGTCTGACACATCTGTAGGAACGACCTCCTATCCCTAACGCTTCTGACCCTCCTAGTTTAGGTCGCCTCCCAAATGGTGAGGGGTCCTTTTAGGCTTCATAAGAAGGGGCCAACGTGAGGTTAGAGGGCAGAGGTTTTTCAGGCTTTTCATTGGTGCTCGGTGGCTTTCTAGCTGCGGGGTGCGTTCCAGCAGGTGCGCCTCGCCCAGGTCGTCGTTCCAGTGGTGCTGGGATCGCCGCGAAGTGCCGCTGGAGAGCCGAGTTGTGCCCAACAAAAACCACGGGGCACCTTGTGGGGGGATAGGCTCAGGAGGGGATGCATCGACCCCCATTCGCCCACTGATCGTCGATAGGGGCCCGGTAGCCCCAATCTGGCCAAGCACGTGTGGGTTCGCCATCGGGGGCCTATCGCCGACCTATCGGCGATGTATCGCCGATTCCATGACGATGTGTCTTCCTCTATGCCAGTCCCCCCTTGTCGTTGCCCCTCAGGTGTATTGAAGATTCCTACGGCGAGTCACCGCCGACCCCTGCCTTGTGGAAGCGCCTCTGTGGCCGAACGTTGCGGCCAGAGCTCGGCCACTCTGTCTGACTGTGTGTTCCCCCAGCCGTTGTGGAGCCCCTTCTGGGAACACGCGGGGGAGCAAGGCGAAGAGGAGGGGAAGAGGAAAGAGGCGAAGGAGGCCTCTTTGGAGCCTCTTGGGGCACTCTTGAGGTCTCCTGGGCGGCGGATCTAGTGGCCTTGAGCCCATCCCTCCACCGTGCCTTGGACCGATCGCTCGAAGACTCGAGGCCCTCTTGGACCCGTCGGAGAGGCCTCTTGGGACCCTCTTGGCCCGTTGTTGGACCCTTCCGTGTCGAGAAAGCCATGCAGGAAGACGCCCCCGGGGTGCGGCGAGCCACTGGGAGTTTTTGAGAATTTTGAGTCCGGGCACTTCAAAAGCATCTTCAGGATTGAGGGCTGAGGGTCAAGGGATTGAGCAAGGGACCTGAGGACACTCCAACTCGTGCCTCGTAGGCACCGTGGCGGACATTCCTGAAGAGCACCAGCATGGTGACGCCTGGTGGAATCTATGGATGCTGAGCAAGGACCAGGAGGCCCTGAGCGACGAGGACACGACGGAAAGGGTCATGAATCTGCTGTATGCCTCCACCTTGGACCAATACACGGGCTGCTCCGTGTTTGGAGGACGCTACTGGGACATCAAGCTGACCGTCCCGTACAACTGCTGTGCCACCTCGCCCTCTCAGGCGCGAGGCGGCTTTTGCATGCCCCACCGCTGCAGCAGGTGGCAGGTTGCGAATGAGGCGGTGCTTCACTGGTGGAGGACGATGATCGCCTCGCAATATCCAGCTGTCTGCGGCAGACGCCGCCGGGGCTTGTGGAGGGCCTCTCGCGGGGCCTGTTGGGGTATTGGGGCCGTCTTGGGCACGATGGTTCTGCTGAGCTCTCCTGGGGGTCCCTGTGGAACCATCTTGAGGTCGTTTGGTCGGGTTTAGAGCTGCGTTGGGGCCTGGGACAGCTTGGGGCCGTCTTAGAGCCATTTTGGGTTCATTTTTGGGGTGATCTTGTGGTCCTGGTTGGGGTCCCGTGGGTCCCCCCCGATGCCTCCCTGATGCCCTTCCATTTCTTCGCTGAATAGTCTCGGAAGCGAGAACGGTGGGAACATGATTTTCCCCAAGTTGGTGTTGCCCATGGCTTGCTTGTGACAGAGACCAGTCAGTGCGGGATCCTTCCCCGAAAGTTCCTCTGGGCTGCCCAAGGTTGCACGGAGTTGCCCGGGGTTGTTGCCCGGGTTGGCCTCAGGCTTGCTGGTGCGATGGCAAGCAATGCCCAGCAACGCCATGCAATGCCAAGCAAATGCCACCACGTCAAGCAATGCCAGGCAGTGTACAGCAATTCCAAGCAGTGCAATCCAATGCCAAGCTCTAAGCAACGCCAAGCAATGCCAGGCGGTGCTGAGGATTGCCACTCAACGCCAAGGAATACAAAGCACGGCCAAGCAACGACTCCAAGCAATACCACGCAGCGTCGAGCAGAGCAAAGTAATGCCAAGCACCTCGAAGCAGTGACAAGCAAAGCCAAGCAGTGCCAAGCAAAAACAAGCAAAGCCAAGCAATGCCAATAAATTCGGGCACCGCAAAGCAATGCCAGGCTCAGCCAAGCAGCGCCAAGCACTGCCAAAGAATGCCAAACAGCGCCAATCAATGTCGAGCAATGCCAAACACAGCCAAGCAGCGCAAAACCACGCAATGTCAGGCAAGGCCAAGCAATGCCAAGCAATGCCAAGCGCAGCCAGGTAACGCCAAGCAGCGCCAAGCAATGCCAGCAATGCCATGCAATGCCAAGCAGTGCTAAGCAGCGACTCGCGATTCCAAGCAACGCCAAATAATGCCAAGCAGCGCAGAGCAAAGTCAAGCAACGATTCCAAGCAATGCCACGTACACCCAAGTCATGCCAGGCAAAGTACAATCACTACCAAGAAACGCCGAGCAACACTTTGCCATGCCAAGCACTGCCAAGCATTGCAAAACACTGCCAAGCAGCTCCAAGCATTGCCGAACAATGCCGATCACCGCCAAGCAGCGCCAAGCAATGCACAGCAGTGCAAATCAGCGCCAAACAGCGCAATGCAATTCCAAGTAATGCCAAGCAAACGGTTCCCAGCACTGCCAAGTGATGTATGTAAAGCAATGTCCAGGAATGCCACGCAATGCCCAGGAGTGACAACCAACTCCATGCAATGCATTGCATTGCGTTGCTCGGATCTGCTTTGAGTTGCTGTGGAAGGAAGGAACTCCGAATTGGGGCCGCGCGGGGGTCATTTTATTTCAATGCCTCTGGCCTCCTGGTTCCTTGCTGGAGGATTTCTTGGTTGCCCCTTGGGGCCTTCCTGGAGAGTCTTGGCGTCTTTTCGGGGCGATGTGGGGCTTCTGGGGTCCGTTGGGCCGTCTCGGGCTGGTCATGGGGCATGCTGGGGCAACTTTGGGACGTCCCGTGCTGCATGGGAGCTGGCTCGGCGCCTAGCAGAGTGCCGATGGCCAACGCGTAAAGGGGGTGATCTCATCGCCAGGGGTCGCCTCGAGGAGAAGTGGAACGTCGCCACTCAGAGACGGTGGAAGCCCCACCAGGCAGCCCGCTGGCATTGCAGGACGCCTCAGCGTGCCGGGCGCACGGTGGCGGGCCAAGAGCCATGCCAGGTGTGCCGGCCGCTGATCAAGGCCTCCGAGCTATGGAGCTGGGACCGCCTGGACCTGGATTTCGTCATCGCCGGAGTGGACCGTTGTGGCTCCAGCTCTCTGAAGCGCAACCTGCAGCAGCACCCCGAGATCGGCTTCACCACCCCGCGAGACGTCGAGGATGCGTTCTTTTACAAGCACGACCTGATTCCCCGAAGGGCCCACGTGGAGCACTTCAACAACATGCAGCACCGCGGGAAGGTGCGCCCCCGCGTGCTGGGTCTGAAGGACCCCACGATCCTCCTAAGTGTGCAGAAGCGGAGTGCGATAGCCCGGGTGCCGGGGCTGAAGGTGATACTCGTTGTCTGCGACAATCTGGTCAGTCGCCTGGACAAGCTTTTCTACGACAACCACTGCGCGTACCCGAAAGACTTCCAGGCGGATCGCCGCACCTGCAGGCCGAGCGTGGCCATGGTCTTGCGGGATCCCAAGATCTACCGCCGCTGGAGGGTTGGCCGGGCGCTTTGGCTGCTCGGCCAGGATGTGCCAGACAAACGCGTGCTGGTGGTGCGGCAGGCGGACATCCGGGCTGATCCGTGCGCGATCTACAGCCAGATCGCCGAGTTCTTGGGCGCGGACCCGGCGTATCCCTGGCGGCTGTCCCGCGCGAACTCTGTGCGCGGGCACCGTACGGATCTCTGCCACAACGCAACCTTCCAGCGAGGGTTTCGTGCCGTGGTCGCGCGCGATGCCGTCCTGCAGGACAGGTTCCTGCTGAAGAGCGGGTACCCGACCGAGCGGTGGCCTACGAGGTGCGAGCGGGCGGAGGAGATCGACACGGCTGCGCAGATGGAGCCGTGGAGCCTGGTCGAGTGCCGATCAAAACACTCACAATCTCGGGGGTCTGCCCAGATCGCACAACGGTTCAGAAAGTGGCGAAGTTTCTGCGTTTGGTAGCAGGCATGGCGAGGTCTCGCTGCAATCTGCGTGTGCGTGTGGCGGGCACTGATTGCCATTATCAGCTCGCCACTTGCCACTCATTGCCGCCAGCAGGCCACTCATTGCCACTACTTGCCGCCAAACGGACACTGGTTGCCACTGAGTGTCGCTGCATGTCGCTAGTTGCCACTGCTTGCCGCTACGTTTTTTTCTCCCTCCTCCCCCCCTGAGAGTCGCAAAGTGAAGTCCGAAGTTCCCCAGATTGGCCGCAGAAGAGTAAAGGCGCGTGGACGAACGACGGGCCCCGTTCCCACACGAGACCGGCACGCTCCGTCGCCAAATCGAGGCGGCACCGGCGCCAAGGTTTGGGGTACCCCGCCCGGTCCTTGGACTTGTTGCCCATGCGCCAGATCTCGAGGCCTCCCAGATGGGGTCGGAGCAAATGGGGTCGGAGGGTCGCGCCGCATCGCCGATGCATCGGCGATGCGGCTCGATGTGTGGCCCAATTTTCTCCGCGCCGACTTCGCCGATGCATCGCCGACGTCGCCAGTGCATCGCCGATGCATCGCTGATGCATCGGCGGTGCATCGCCGATGTATCGGCGAGCCAGTCTGTGCTGGCGGCCATGGCAAAGACACGACCGGGCCGTGCCCCGGTGTTCGAGCCTTCTGAGCAGGTCTTCTCCCTCTTTCGCTTCCGCCCTCTCGCTCGCCGCCGATCCGTGCTGGCGGCCATGGCAGTGACACCGGGGCGTACCACGGTGGCGTGTGCTCGGCTCGTGCTGCCTGCTCGCTGCGCCCTCCGCCCCTGCCCCCCTCCGCCTCCTCGGGCCTGCCCCTCCAGGGGCAGGCCAGTTTTTTGTTGGGTGCTAGACAAATATCCTCCCTCTCCTCCTTTTCCTCCTCCTCTTAGGAGCCAAAGAAGCAGAACATGGTTTTTGGTAAAAGTTGGCACTGGAGATCGAATATCCACTGCGTCAATGGAACCCTACTGGCCCAGCTCTGCACTCCTCCTGCCCGTCGGCGAGATAACTTGGACAACGAAAGCTGGCCTTCGCCAGTGGTGAACCTCGAAAACCCATGACCACTCGGTCGGAGGACAACAGTCTGAGGCTGGACAGGCGTGGCCACGTGCTCCCCCTGAAGGGGGCCGCTGCGCTCGAATCGCCTCGGGAGGCGCCGAGTCGGAGCACTGCAGAGCCAAACGCGCAGAGAGAGAGAGAGCTTCGTGGCCGCGGCGCAGACGAAAGCAGGCGAGTGAGAGGGAACATGGAGGCCCCGAGGCTCGGAGGTCATTGGCTTCTGCCGTTGTTGAACCTCGAAAACCCATTTGGACTCTGGCTTGCCGCCGGGTCCAGGAGAAGGCAGGCTGTTCGATGAAGTAAAGGACGAAGCAGTCTCTGAGGCAGAGGACCTCTTGCAGAGACAACGGATGGACTCGCTCGGAGAGGTGGACGAGGGGGAGGAGGACGAGGTTTATCTCAATGAGAAGCGCAACGAGCACACCTTGGAAAACATCTGTCACATTATGTGGAACAGTATTGGTTATTTTTTCTTTGTCAGCGGGAAGAACTACGGCGCCAATTGGCTTCCAGCGGCACAATTCGCTTTTTGCCAGAAGTGGAAGTCGCTCTTTCGGAATGGGAAAGTATAGGAGTTCTTGCCAGCATAGGAGGCAAGTTCACAACTGCTACCCCTGTTTCGATTTTTTACTTTTTAATGTTAGTTTTTTTTGGCCGGGGAAATCGCAGAGGATCAGCTGAGCGCGTTTGGCGCGGAGGAGAATATTGAAACAGCCTCGAAAGGGGAGCCGCACGCACTAGCGCGGGCATCTCGGAATGCAGGCCTTCTCGCTCAGTGTTCCCCCCTCTCGTCTCTTAGTCTCTCGTCCTCGGTTCTCTTCTCTCCACGGACATGTCGTGAAATATTGTGCATTCGCCGCGTGTCTCCCCAGATTTTCTGATGTAGTGCGCGTGACCTTGGGGATGACGAAAGGAGCAGAGGTTGTGCATCTCTAAGCGCGTTTGGCGCGGGAAGCATTTGTCTCGGCGCGGTGGGAGTTGAGCGCACTAGCGAGGGCATCTCGGAGTGCAGTTCGGTTTACAAATCAAAGAGGGGCTCGGGGAACCCCTTGCTTGGGAACCCTGTTCGCCAGCGCGTCCCCATAATGGGCACGCGAACAGGCCAGTAGCTCTTGTCCCCGCACTGACCCGTAGGGACTCCTCTTGATCAGCGAGCCTCTCTGACGGGGCTTACCTCGGCTCTCGCCCCCTTAAAGCCTGGGGTACGCCGCCTGCCCTAATGCGCAGTATGGGCCTGGGCACAATGACAATCGCAGGGGATTTTGAATTGGTGCCCCACGGCTCCTTCACAGTCGATTCGACGTTGACCCCCTCATGCGGATGTCCTGTCCTGTCCTGTCCTGTCCTGTCCTGTCCTGTCCTCCTCCTCTTCCTCCTCCTCCTCCTCCTCCTCCTCCTCCCCCTCCGTTTCCTTTCCTCCTCCCCTCCCCCATCCGACTTCCTCCTCCTTCTCCTCCTCCTCCTCCTCCTCCTCCTCACCCCCTCCTCCTTCCTCCCCCTCCTCGGCGAGTCGGGTTGTTGCAGCTTGGGCCTGCTGTTTTTTTCCCACTTGGCCCGCCACCTTACCCGCAGAAGTGGGCCTTTCCAGGCAACCAGGCCACCTGCGTCTCGTCCTTTTTTATTTCGGGTCCTCCCAAGCTGCCTACTCTTGGTTGGTTCTGGCTCCGTGTCGCCGGCCTCTGTCGTCGGTGCCACATGCGATGCTGCTTGCGCGCGCTGCACGCACGTTGTGTTGTGCGTTGCGCGTGTAGCATGAGCGTCAGGCACCCCTACTGTCGCACCCCTTCGGGGCTTCGAGGCTCAGGGGTAAGGTGCTATGCTGCTGGTTCCTGGCCAGCCTCTCACCTTGTTTGTTCCCCGTCCCCGACGGGCAACGCACCGAACGAAACAATCCTTATCCCCTTGCTCCTCAAGTCTCCTGCTGCTGCTCCTCCTCCTCCTCCTCCTCCTCCTCCCCCTCCTCCTCCTCCTCCTCCTCCTCCTCCTCCTCCTCCTCCTCCTCCTCCTCCCCGTTCCCCCTCATCCCTCCTCCCCCTCCCCCATCCCTCCTCCTTGCCCAGCCGACGTCTTACTGTTTTTCGACGCTGGGCCCCTCGAAATCCCATTCCCTTCCCCAGAGCGGCTTCTCATCCCAAGTCGCCTGGGCCCAGTAAGGGCCCCACGCCGATCGAAAACGGTACAACACATAAGCCCCCCCTCCCCCGATGACGTTCCCTGAGATCCGACGCCCAGAAAGTTGGCAATGGCGTGATCAAGGAACGTCGCGGCGGGAGCCCAAGGCCCCATCTTCTGTTGCGTCGTCCGTGGCCCGAAGCAGGGCGACTCCACCGGGCGGGGAAGAGCTGCGACGCCAGTTTCCCCTGGCCGGGGGTCGGACGCCACCCTCCCCTCGGGCGGGGGTAGGACGAGGAGAAGTCCGTCCCAGAGCGTGCCGGAACGCTGTGAGAAGGCTGGGGCGCCCGAGACATCCTTCAGAGCCGCCAGCTCTCAGAGATTCTCGAGTCATCCTCACCCCAGTTCCTCCTCGCCCTGGTTTCGCCATAGTTTTCCCTTCTCCATACCCCCCACCCTGCCTCGACGTCGGAGCTCGGGGCACAAGCGCCCGCTGCGCCTCCGCCCGCGGCG